GGAGCGTTGTCGAAAAAAGATGAAGCCTAGTCAGCCATGTTTATATGGGCCACTAGTACTGTCATCTGTTAGTATTTCACAATACTTCGATGAAATAATCCACAATAGAATCACGGAGATAAAATAGACCCAGTAAACAATTTGCTCGGAATTTGCGAGCAAATTGGTAACAAATTAGAGCAAAATTATTCAGCAAATTGGCATCAACTATGTCCGCATTAAGCTTGGAGTTTGTCGCCAAACCTTGTTGACAAAACGTAACAGCAAATTGCTGACAAAACCCGAGCAATGTTTGATAACATAACCTGAAACCAAATTGACGCCAAATATGAAGCAAGGTCTGCGCAACACAGTTTGAGAGCAAAATGACAGCAAAACCCGTGCAAGATTTGCAGTTCGAGCATGTGGGTATTTAAATATATATATATAATTGAAGATATAATTGAAGGTAATTTTAAAATAAAACATCAACGTAAAAAATATATTAACATTTATTTCGCATAACATATTGTCATAATATTTAATTTATTTACATAAACTTATATATTGTGTAACTACATATATTTAAAAAAATAGAAAAAAATATAATTTGCAAATAGGTATTACGTGGGCATTTATTATGAAATTGTTCGTAATGGATTCCGATCAGAATTATTTTGTTTTTTCTAAAAAACCCTTTACGAAAAAGAACTACTGCCGATTACATATAAATAAAATCAGTAATATAAATATTACTGACAATCACACAAGAAAATTATTAGATATTATAGGAATCACTGAGAATATTACTGGCAAATACACAGAATGCCAGTAATTCTTTCGTACCACTGCCGCAATATATTACTGCCAGTAGTTCTTTTTCGTAAGGAACATTATAGAAATCTAAACAATAACAAAACAATTCTGATCGGAATTTATTTCAAAGTTTCATAATGCATGTCCTGGAAAAGAATATTTTATAGCACTGAAAAGTGCCGATAGATATTGCGAAACACCGGAGAAATATCCAAAGTATAAATAATTTAAAAATGGGCGCTGAATAGTGCCAATTTCCTTCTCTCCTCTTCGGAAAAAAGATGAATTTGTGTGTAGGTAGGATGTGTCTTTTAATCTTGAGTGCATCAGTGTACCTAAAACTAAACAAGTAAAATTTGTTATATTACAATTACAAATAAATCATAAAGAAATTATGCAAAAAAAAGAAACAAAAGTTGATTTCTAATAGCAAAAGTCTGCACAAGCATTATTCTTATTAGTTTTTTTTTTTTTTTTTTTTTTT